ACTTCGATGACGAGGTCCGGTATCTCCATCTCGTCGTCAGGGTTGGCGGCGGGCGCTGGGTCTACTCGGCGAGGCGTGCTGCCGGCCTTGCGGCGGGACATGAGTCGCGGGCCGGGCGAGCGGGCGGGCAGGCGGAGGACGCGCGAGTGGAGGACGCAAGGGCAGTGCGCGCTCACACCGAGGCTCAGGTGAGTGACTGCGGCGACCCGCCGCGAACTCTTACACGTGCTGGCCCGGCCAGTGGCCCCGCCCATCGAGGGCGGGGCCTGACGGGAGGGGACCGGACGGCTCCGCAAGGGCCCTGCCGCCAGCCAAACTCAATCAGGCAGTGCCCAGTGCGTCTGGTGTAGAGCCCAAACCTAATCACGCCGAGTTCACGCAAGGAATAGCAACGGCTCTTTCTAATTCGATTTTAGGGCTAGGGGAAACTGAGGCTCAAGACACCCACCCACACCCGCAAGGGAGAAAATGGTGATCCATATCCTTACCAGACGCCTGATAGTATCCTGGACTGTTCCGTTAAATGCACTACAATACAAATTCATTCATTCAAACGTTGAGCGCCTGCTGGGCACCAGACTGTTCTGAACGCTAGAGATCCAACAGGAAAAAGAGCTCCCTGCACTCCAGGGGTTTATGTTGTGGGAGATACTGCGTATAAGACAACCATGTACTTGCTCTGCAGAGTGCCTTTCCTGACAAGTGCTCCGAGCAAAATAAAACTAGGAAGAGGGCCTCCCTTTTCTCGCCCATGCCAGGGAAAAGGCATGGTGATGTTGACACCCAGGGAGGGGAAGGAGTCAGACGTGGCCCTGTGCGTTCAGGAATAACAAAGCGGAGGCAGCATCACTGGTATGGTGTTCAGTGTGAAAAGGGGGGCACATCCTGGAGTCTCTTGACCACTTTAGGAAAAAAGAGGTTTTCCTGAGCCAGGAGTCTTAGAGGGTTTTGAGCACAGGAGAGTTGTAATTTCACATGCTACTCTGTTCCTAGACCTGGAATCGTCTTTAAAACAATACCTAATCCTCTCGCCTGCCTCCACTCGTGGTAAACTTCTCTCTGAGCACTGCTCTCTGATCACTGTTTGAAGTGGCATCAACGCCCTGCCCCACCCTCAGTCCTTTACAAGTTTTCTTTTCTTCCTGGAAGTGACCACATTATAGAACGGTTTGTTGACTATCTTCACTACCCCCACCCAAAGCAAGCCCCCTGAGGTCAGGGCCAGGGTCTGTCCTCTGCCAGGTGTCCGCAGCCCAGGACTGAGAATTTCAGATGCTGATCTCTTGGAGTTCCTCATATTGTTATTCAGTTCTCAGCTCAATTGTCCTCCTGAGAGCAGAGGGCTTCCCTGACCAGCAGTATCTAAAGTAGTCCCACCCTGCTGAAGGCCTTGCAAATTACACCTGATGACCTCCACCTGTCCCCAGTTCCCTCCTGGGCTTCAGTTTTCCCATCTCTGAAAGGATTCCTCTACTGACCACCCAGTTTTAATTTCCCCCAACTCTGCTACCCACTATCCCATTGCCCTGATTTTATTCTTTTTATATCATTTGATTAAGCCCTTTAAGGTCTTGTTTATGTGTCTGTTCATTTATACTCTTTCTGTCCCTCCCACTGCCACTGTAATGTAGGTTCTGAGGGGGGGCAAGATCAACGTCTTGTTCACAGTTATAGCCCCTACTTGTTCATTGTTAAGTCAACAAATATTTTCTGAGCTCCTGCAATGTGCTTGACTCTCTATCAACAAATGTTTGCAGAGGGTCCAGCAGGTAGCATGGAGGTTAAGGGCACTGGACTCCCACATGGACGACTGCGGTATGAGTCCTGAACCTAGTGGCTTGCCTTCTCAATTTCTTTCTCTCGCTCTCTTGCTCTGTCCCTCTCTGATCAAATTAAAATAAAGAAATAAAAAGTTAAATAAAATAATTCTTTTTAAAAAATGTTTGCAGAGCACCTAACTGTATACCAGGCACTAGGCCTTGGGGAGCTAGTGGAAAGCAGAGGCCCACAAGATCCCTGCTTAGTGGAACCTTCTGTGCAAGTGAATTCTGTCTGGGCCAGAGCTGGGAGCTTCTATAGCACCACAGGTCAGACTTTCCCCACTCAGGGCCTCAGTTTTCCCCTTAGTGAAACAGGGCTGTGGGAAGGCCTGGAGGACAAAATGACCACTGACCCAACCCAGCTGCTGCGCTCTAAGTTCTACGTTCTTTTCCTGGTACGTGGCTGCTGGAGGGCAAGATCTCCTGGCTACAGGTGAGGCAGGTGGGGTTCTGAATGGAGGTAAGGGCTAGGGACGAGTATGTATGGGTATTTTGGGGTGCAAGGCCTAAGTTCTCCTTAACCGAGCTAGGAGGAAGTCTTCCCTCTGGGCCTCAGTTTCTTTCTTCGTATAATGGTCATCTGGTACGTTCCCAACTCGCAGTTGGCAGATCAGGCCAAAGCGCTCGGCCAAGCCGTGGGCGGGGTGGTGACCAAGGCTGTGCTGAGAAGCGACCACGTGGGGCAACCGCGGCGGCGGCGGCGCGGACGGAACTCGGAATCGGAGGCTCGCGGCCCGCCCGGGCCTCTGAAGCCCGAGCGCC